CAAAAGGGCGTTGGACACGTAGGAGAGTTGCAGGAGTTAGCCTACTGATATGCCCATTCTGGTTTCTGGCACAACTCACATTTAACCTCTCTCTGAAGTATACTACGGTTACGGTAAGAATTTGTATTTTTTCCATTCATTGGATTGTCCAAACTATTCTATTTGTGAAGTAGTATTGAGTTCCTTTGCCTGCATGTGTACAGTCCAATACCATCCTAAGCAGTGCCTCCAGTTTGTTCACCTTTCTAGTCGCTCTTGTATTCTTGGGTGAGAAATTTACTTGGGTGAAACTGATCAGTGTTCTGCTTTGCATGGGAGGAACTATAATTGTCAGTTTAGGTGACTCAGAAACAGGATTACGTTCAATTGCTTCAAATCCAGTTCTTGGCGACATTCTGGCTCTTCTATCTGCAGGCTTTTATGCTGTGTATATTACCCTTATTCGCAAAAAATTGCCTGGTGAAGATGATTCAGAAAGTGGCCGTGCCAGTATGGCACAGTTTCTTGGATTTTTGGGTTTGTTCAACATCTTGATATTCCTTCCTGTTGTGCTCGTAATTGACTTTGCTAAACTGGAGCCATTCAACACGCTTACCTGGAAGCAAGTTGGTCTAATTGTGGGTAAAGGTATATCTAAGTAAGACTTTTAGCCGTCGGAATTGAATCTTCGATTGTTCTTTAATTGCTTTTAAGTCTTATTCTGCATAGCACTCTTCAACTCATTTACGTGCTTTAGCCTCTGACATAAATGCTTTCCAAGCCTTTCTGGAGTTGATACGTCGAAGTTCATTTCAAATTTTTATTAGGATATTCTCGTTGGGTAATTTTTAATTGAATATAATCATTTCTTGATACCATAGTATCTTTTACGTTGAAATAAACTAGAATTAACTCATGTTGATGTAATGCAGTCACCACGCTGCTACCTGGTGTCCAGATAGGGGCTTTATTTTCTTGGATAAGCGTATTTTGCAAAACAAAATTCCAGTTGTTTGTGAACTTTAAGAGCATTATATCATGGACTTTGAAGATATAAGTAACAAGAAACTCTTAAAGCTTGTTTGGCATAGATTTTTTAAATGAAAAATGATATTTTGGAGAATGTGTGGTTAAAAAATGGGACAAAGTTGTGTGTTTCATAAAATGTGTTGTTGAAAATGATTTTGAAAAATCTATGTCAAACAAGGCTTTAGTCGATGTCAAGAATATTATATTGGGACAGGGTTATAGGCTATGATGCATTGAAAGTCCGACACGGACACGCACATATTGGACATGTCGACATGTACGATTAAATTATTTTTTTATATTGTATAAATTTAGTTTTATACTTTTTATTAAATTTTTTAGTTGAAATATTTTAAATATGAGTACTTATTTGTTATGTATTAATAACTTTAAATTAAAAATATATAATATTTCTGATAAAGCAAGAAAAACGACCATAATAAAGTGTCCGAGAGATGTCTTGTTGAATACGAACACGTCACCCTAGTTGAAGCGTTTGTGCAACTAAAGTCACATGTTTATCTGCTCAAATTCCTTCACTTGTACTGAGGCATATTTAAGTATTATCAAAAATCAGAACTATATCTTCTTTTCCCTCTTGTTGAGTTCATCGACCACGGTTGTATCTGAAGGGGTGTTGTTCTAGAGTGTTTTTCTAACTGAAAACTGCTAGTCTTTATCTGGGTTCTCTTTCTCTCAAGCATGGCAAAATTAGAGGTGCAGAGGAGTGGAAAATTAAGAGAGATGGTCATGACCTGAAGATGCACACTGCTAAGAAATTGTTAATTCACTTCTATTTCATGGTTACATCGTCTTCCAATTGATCTGGTGGAAGGAAAAGAAATCACAGGAGAGTGTATCTTGAAGAGTGTAAACAGGACAGAGAACAAAACTTCATATTTGTCTTCTTGTAACTGCAATTCACTTATCAAAACCAATTCCATCCTGCCACATTTTTGAACTTAATACACATATTTGAACTTATCAAGAGATGCATATCTTTATTCACTAGAAAGAGAGTTGGATTTATTTAGAATCCTTATTGTTACCAGAGGTAGAGGCTTAGAGCAATCCGAAGAGAGATGCTTGTTCGAGCTGTGTACTCGTTTATTGTTTTGTAGGCTTTATGCCTGACACTTGGGATTGAATACAGGAATCCTTTTTCTTCTCTGTGTATGGTCCGGACTTGTGTTTCCTACTATCTAAGTCCTCATCATAGTTTATCCTCAAAATTGTGTCACTTTTAATTGTTAGCATATGTTATCATTTTTTCCCTTTTCTATTGTGATCAAGCATCCAGCTTAATCCACATCTGATTCATCTTGTGGACTTTTTATGCTTTAACGAGTCAAAACTTGATGTTAATAAACGTAGTTGGTCTAATAACCATTCTATATAACTTGTTTAGTTAGTATCTTTTCCATAAAAGGCCGTCCTTTGAACAATGGAGTCTACGAGCATTATAATTGTTTGCTTTGAACTTCATGAGTCACGTTATATACTTCCGAACGTCCACATTCAGGTTTGCTGGATAACGTGTTGAGTGATTACCTTTGGGCCAAGGCTGTCCTCCTTACAAGCACCACTGTAGCAACAGCTGGTCTTACAATTCAGGTTCCTTTAGCGGCTATTGTGGATTCAGTGACCGGAAATGCACCCCATCTCTTGGACTATATTGGAGCTGCAGCTGTAATGGTTGGTTTTGCTGGTATTAACATTCCTTCAGAAGCCTGTTCTGGAACTAAAGAAGCCAATCTTGAACTAGAGAATGGAAACCTCGAACCATCTGGCCAAGAAGGCTTGTCAGCAAGGTAAATGATAGGTTCTCCATGTCGTGTCAAAGAGTACAATTAAGATGTATTGTACAGTAGTTTTGTCAAAGAAAATGAATTGCAGAAAGTTTTGGATGGACTCAGCACAGATGGACCCCCTCCACTGTGCAATTATACTTCGATGTAGAAAAATATGGGACAAGAGAAAGAAAATATGAATGCCATTTACCTTTGTTGACAAGTTGTTGATTTTTGTTATTCTTTGTACTTCTTTTGTCCCCCTATTCTAGTTTATTTGCATGGATTTAGTAAATATGTCCTCATATCATAGACACTTAGCTTATTTTTCTAAAGGAAACCCAAAATCACGTATGAGTTGTCTTTATCTAGTAACACACATCGCACCCTTGTTTTAGATGTATAAAAGAAACAATTGTAGTAATTGAAATGAAAAACGAATATGATCGGTTACTCTTAAGTCGCTTTTTGTTCAGTAATTCACAAATACTATTAACTTATTCATCGAAAGTTTCTATTTTATATATAATTTAAATCGTTTATAAACATCGATTTTAATTTATATAGCAAAATATGTTTGTCAAGTGGAAATGTGTACCTAATTTTTCTCTTATTTTAAATTAATTTAATTTACGATTTAGAAGGGCTTTTAAAAGTTAAAAACTACTTTTGAGATTAAGAAACTGTTCTCGAGAATGTTCAGATAATTTTTTTAAAATGGTTTGATTTGAATAATTTTTGCCTTTTAAGAGAAAGTTGGTATATAGTAGTTTTCTCATCTCAAAATAAAAAAAAATCCCACCAAACGAGACTTCTCATATTTGCTTATTTTATTCAACGTGTATTTATATTTTTTTTTTCTTTTTTCTTTTCTGGAAAGTGACCCTTACAATTAATCAATAACCAAGCGTGTCCACCTTCATCCGGGGGTGTCACCCTCCGTAACTCTAGCGCCCCCACTGCGTGCAACATATAGCAATTAGCAAGCCCCACCATTACCTTTCCCAAACCCAACTCCGAATCTATATCAGCGTAGACTCCGTCTAAATTCCTTCCCGAGCCAAAGGCAGAGCCTACGCACTATATAAAACCCGGATACCATATCTCAGGTTAGGATCCCTACCTGGCCACTTTTCCAGCTATATTTTAGCTTTCGCATGGCCGAATTTTTCTCGCTCTGTTTTCTTCTCTCTATTCAGTGTTTAAGTTGAGCTTCTTTCTTCACTTTAGTTCTCATTTTCCTTTACTATACAATTGGTTTTTTTTTCTCGAATAATTATTGATAAATCGAACAATTCATGAGAGTACGTTATATATATACTTTAGTTTATGTAAGAATGCAAGTACTTTGATGTTCGTTGACTGAATAGAGGTTAATTGGACGGAAGCTCGCAATCTCTGTACGTATTTTGATAGGAGTACTCCAATTCAAGTTCAAATTTTAGAGATAAAGATTTAGTTGATAATTTACTACGAATTTAAGAATTGAGGAATATTTGCAGTGAATTGAGAATAAATATGCGGAATTGGATTCATTAATAGAGATCTTGTTTAGATTATGTGAATTTGGCTGACTTCTCTTGTTTTTTATGTTTTTAATTTGAACTGGGGTTTTTGATGCGGAGATCTTACTTGCATCGTCAATGCAGGACTTGATCTCTCTTGCTGGTGAGGTTGGTGCCGTGAATTTTGTTGCTTAGGTTTTGTGATTTTCCTTTTTAAATTTTATAGGCAGTTTTCTGATCAAATTGCGTGATCTTGTAATTGGCCTTTTGGTAGCAGTGGAAGCGCAGTGACTGAGACTAACTGTAGCACTTTGTGGAGTGTGTTTGAAGTAATAAACCATGGCGCAGAGTAATTGGGAAGCAGATAAAATGTATGCATTCACCAACGTTTAGTTTGTAATACTTTCTCGTCTTTACTTTTTTTTTTTTTTCATTTTCACTTGTTTTATAAGGAAGGAAACCGGCAGACTCAGACTCTTTCAATTTCACCTTCTTCATTGTATACATCGTTTTAGTTGCCTTACCCGAGTTCCCTTGTTTAATTATATATGAATGAAGGCCAGAAAATAGAAAAAGAGTCGCCAGCCAAGATGACCTAGAAATTAGTGTTGTTGCTAGCATTTAAATAAGACTTTATATTGAATTTATGAGTTGAAATCAAGCCAATTTGTCGTTTTGAGTTCAGATTTATTTGCTGACATTTTACTGACAGCAAGACAAAGATTTTCCAGTTTTGATCGTATTAAAGTAAGATAAAGTGATCCTCTAAATTTGATATTTTTGGTCAGGCTTGATGTCTACATTCACGACTATTTGTTGAAAAGAAAATTGCATACTTCTGCCAAAGCTTTCATGACAGAAGGAAAAGTTGCTACAGATCCTGTAGGTGAGGGGTTTGCTCCAGTTTATTTGGTGAATATATTTTGCTGTTAATTTCAATGAGTCATTTCATAAATGCTAACAACTGATTTGCAGACTGGGTTGTCTTCTGCTTCACGATTTTCAAAATTTAAGTGCGATAGATGATAGGGTGAATATCTGTAACATTTTTTCTTCTTGCAGCTATTGATGCGCCAGGTGGATTTCTATTTGAATGGTGGTCTGTCTTTTGGGACATCTTCATTGCAAGGACAAATGAGAAACATTCTGAGTCGGCTGCAGCTTACATAGAGGTATCTCAAATTCTGCAGTTTTTTTAGGGCTATAATCATATCATGTCTTTGATCTAAATGTACATTTTCTGTTTTATATTTCCAATACATTTCATCTTTTATTTTTCACTTGCATTTTGAATTCAACAAAAGACACAACAAATTAAAGCAAGGGAACACCAGCAGCAGCTGCAAATGCAACAGATGCAACTCATGCAGCAGCGGAATGCCCAGTTACAGCGAAGAGATCCTAATCAGCCTCCCCTTGGTGGGCCCATGAATACCATGAACTCTGAAGGAATGATGGGGCAGTCATCCGCGAGTGTATTGGCTATGAAAATGTATGAAGAACGTATGAAACATCCTCATTCGATGGATTCAGACACGAGTCCTGCTCTTGTTGATGCTAATAGGATGGCCCTTCTCAAGTCAGCAACCAATCAACAAGGGTAGAATAAACCCTTTTTGTTTGATTTGAATAAAAGGTGCATCGGAATTTGCATTATTAAATTGGATTACTAATTTTTTCGTGATTGATCCAGACAGTTGATGCAAGGGAATTCCGGGAGCATGTCTGTTGCGTTGCAGCAAATGCAAGGACGGTCTCAACTGGCTACTGTAACTGCTGAAACCATGTCTTTGTTGGCTTCTTTGCCTCTGTTTCTTTTGTTTCCCTTATCAAGCTCAAGTCTGTACTTTTTGGAATTTTTTAGGACATTAAAGGGGAAGTTAACTTGGGTGCAACTCAGAAATCTTTGCCTATGGATGCCTCATCTATTTATGGCCAGGCAGTTCTTCAGCCAAAGTCTGGACTTGGAGGTGCAGGTAACACTGAAGCTAGTTCTTTCTACTGGAAGGAGTAGAGTATGGATTTTTTTGGTTATATTTGCCAAAAGCATGTTCTTGAAGCCTAATACAAGATGGCTGGACAGGCTGTGTTGACACTTCAACAAAAACAGGATGTGGGCTTGCAAAAAGGTCATAGAAATTGATCACTATATGCATGTACACATATATATTGTGTACCAGAAGCCCCAGGATATAAAACTCATAGTACTTCATTGTATTTGAATTTAATTTCTACATGAATCCTTTTTTGCCCATAAATCTGATATCTCTTATTGTGGCCGGCAAATTTTTTATTAATTTTTTGTTTGGTAAAAGATAATAAGCACCTCATGGTGTTCTAGCCTGCAAATTTAACTTGCATAACTGGCAGGATCTTGCATTTGTCTCCTGCCCTCCAATGTCACTTAACATTGGGCTTTGAAGTATAAGTCCAATTACTTGCTTTGAAATTATAAAACTCTCTCATAATCTGTGCCACCACAAAACTGGTTGATCTTGGGCGGATCCTGCCCCTAAATGTAGCGGATAGTATTTTTTTTATGGTTTAAAGTTCTTCCGAGTGTTATATATGGAATAACACCCTTTCAACTTCCCTCAAGTCCCCCACCCCCCACCGAAAAAAGGAGTCAATTTGAATTGTCAACCATGCAAACTAAATTTTAGAACTTTCTAGTCTTAGTACACTTGAGTAGCTTAATATTCTTCACATGTTTAAAGAAAAAAATTAAGTAAATTAAGCCTCAGTTCGATAGAGATTCTTTAAGATTCATTTTTTTCCAAACTCTCAACCTCACATTCTCCCAAAAAGTATATTCTCACGTGGGCCCATAACTTTTCCTATTTTTTAACCACATAATATCCAAAAAAAATTACTTTTGACATAATCTATTCTCAAAATATCTACATCAGACGTGCCCTAAATGCTATGGTAAAAATATAGTAATTTCTACGAGAATAGATGTTATCGCATGCGTTAATAGAACATTTGCCATCTTTTAGAATGCAGTATTGGTGTTGCTATAGAATCCAGTACTTCTCATTTTTGTTACCCTCAGAATATCATTCTTTATATAGAATTATGTGGTAATTATGCTAATTTTATCATATAATTTCTCTCATCTTCTCAGGGTTGAATCAAGGTGTCACTGGTCTTCCACTGAAGGGCTGGCCATTAACTGTGAGTTTCTTATGGCTTTGAACATCTATTGTACTCGTTTGAGGATATTGTGGAGGAGATGAATCTTGACAACTGTGCTTACCATATCATGCAGGGTATTGACCAATTACGGCCAAGTATGGGTTTACAAGTTCAAAAGCCCAATCTACAAACCCAAAATCAGTTTCTTATGGCATCACAACAACAGCAGGTGCTAGCACAAGCTCATGCACAAAGCAACCTTACTTCACCTAACTATGTATTTGGAGGATTGCCTCGGGGTAATTTTAATTCAAAAGATGGTCAACCTCCAAGGAATGATGGATCTTTATGCTCTCCAGTGCAATCAAATTCACCAAAGGTTGTGACTCTCCATGTAATTGTGAATAGTATCTCATAGGTTTGCATTAACGACGTGGCCAATTAAATGCGGATATGCTGCTAACCACACGTGGCATTCAAGATATTCGAGATTAAACTTGCTATGTTGTGCTAAGTGCTATCACGTGGAATTTGAAGAATGTTTCCTTTCTCGGAATTGGTACTTTCTCTTAGTAGACAAACAAACCCGGCTTTTTTTTCCAGAACACTGCCAAATAAAATGCGCCTCATGCCGAAATATCACGAGTACCCCCTCGTCCCGGGCCATTGCACGGAAAACTATAACCGAAATCCTTTTTATCTGGCATTAACTTGGAACCGCGTGCATCTAAAGCATCTTTCACTAAGATCAATGTAGTTGTATGTAAACCCAGAGCAATAGCATGTTGAACTAAAATTTTCTTTTCCATAATTTTTAAGTTTATCTATATGAGGAGTCTGGGACTATTACATTCTGACATATGGTACAGTAACTGCTTGAGTTTATTACTGCACGTTTCTTCTAACAATAGATGCTTAATAAATTCTCAGATGTTTTACGTGGCTCCTTTTTGGAAGTCAAACTTTTAAGTTTTATTGTCTCTGATGCAGGATTCCTGCATCTGAGAAAATAAGTATTCGTCTGTTTATGTGATATTCAGTACTCTTGGATATTGAACCTTTTCATTACGTTTCTTTATATATTTGTGTAGGTAAGTGTATGACTCAAAGAAGTGATATTGCTGAGGAAAAGAAATTATCGACTGTCGAAAGGAATCAAATTACAAGTTCTCACATGCTTCTGTAGACTTAAAATTTCTCTCTGTGAAATTAGTTGCTCGATAAATAGAGTTTTTTTTTTATTCAAAAGAAAGTAAAATGTATCTTGATCTATATAAAGAAGAATGGCTATGCTTCACTTTAAGAGCATTTGGTTTCTGTCGTATACAGATGAAAAATGAACATATGATATAAACTGTGGTATTGAAGCCGTTGTATACTCCTTAGTTTGTATTAAAACGTTTTCCTATTAAACGGATTTGGGATCTTCTGCTACCCTCGCCCCTTCCCAGAAAGCCAAGAAAAGAAAAGAAAGGTGGGGGAATTATAAGGTGCTTATTTCTACTTGACAGAGACATTATGCTATATATAATATATTATGATTCTTTGGGCAATGTTGGTTCCTGAATTTTCTTCAGTAAAATTGTTCTTACACCTTTGTTAAGATCATAATATGAGAATCAACCATGAAGCATTTACTTCCTATCTCTTAATTAAAAATATTTTTCTGCTACTACTAATTACTCATTAATATGACACGTATGCCTTCATATGTTTGTTTTCTTAGTCATTTGATTTTGCGTCTTCTTTTTTTTTTTTATATATAATTTATCTGCTTGCTTTTCATGCCTTCTAGATAGTTTTGAATCCTCTCCATTTTGAGGTAAATTAGAAACCTGATATGACATAAAATTTCTTATTAGTTTGAATATAATGATAATGATGGATGTTAGAGATGCTGGATTTCTTTTTCTTTTTCTTTTTCTTTTTCAAGCTTAAATAGTGAAGAATAAAAATTGTATCTCAGACTTGAAAAGCTCCTAACGGTATGCAGTGTAAATATGTACCTTATACACCTCATATTGATGGAATGGGAAACCCCTTTTCAATTATAAAAAATGCAGATAGTTTTTCATATCAAGTTACTGTAAGATGCCTGCAACTAAGTATTAGCATTTTGATCAGATGAAGATCCCCCAAATGCACCAGTCGTCCTCTCAACAACAGGATCAGTTGCAACAGCAATTGCAACAGGTTGGTTCTTATGAAGTTTAGAGAAAACTTTTTATGCAACAGCATTAATCCTTTGCATAATTTGCAATTTATTTATTCATTCCCTGTGTTCCATTACGAGCATTACTATTTTGTGTTTTGTCACCTCTTTAAGATTTCCATTTTGTTTGCATGAATTTATATGATCTAACATGCTCTTTTACGTGAAACAGAATAACAGGAAAAGGAAACAACACTCCTCATCTGGACCTGCCAATAGTGCAGGTACTGGAAATACAGCAGGCCCTTCCCCGAGCTCACCAGCATCGACACATACCCCTGGTGATGGAATGACTACTGCCAGTAGCCTACAGCATGTCAATAGCGTGTCCAAAAGTATGATGATGTACGGTGCAGAGGGAACAGGTGGAATTGCATCATCTGCAAATCAGCTGGTATGAATGGGTTTTATCTATCTTTACCTTGGGTATTTTGTAGCTACGTTTTACATTAATTTTCTAGATGACGTACTAAACTTTGTGTTATTCAAAATGTTCATGCACACAATTTGAATGTTTTTCTGTTGTACTGGATCCTCTCTTTTAAGGTAAGTAGGAAATTTTCTGAAAAAGTAGCTCTGGTCGAATGTAATGATGAAGAAGGATTCCTTTAGTTTATCCTAGTTTATTGGTGATAAGGCTTAGATGCTGATTTTCTGGAAAACTGTTTTGAGTGTTGAACTGGCGTTCATGAACCTGTCCCTAGACATGCTTATGTGCTTACTTGAACTCAGTTGATTTTAGTAAGCTGGTATTCATGGACTTATCTCATGAAAATCGAAGTTCAACGTGGCCAAGTTTCACGGGTTACCTTTCTTCTTAGCACAGAAAGGGACACCGTGCGACAGTAGTCTGCTCCGCTAGATTACCTTCCGCCTTCTCTCGGTCGTTTCGGGACGAAAAGAAATTTGATCACAATTTTGCCGCCTTCTCTCGGTCGTTTCGGGACGAAAAGAAATTTGATCACAATTTAAAGAAAGTTTACAACATGAAATTGAAATGCATTGAAATAAACTTGATCATTGATTGCTTGAAAGCTGAACATTAAAATAGACGAAAGTAGGAAATCACAATGGCTAATGCAGGGGGCGAACACTAAAAAGCCTGAAAATGTTTGGAAGACTAATACCCCCTATAATAGACTTAGCAACAAAAACCCATCTGACGGGAGTAGACGTTTAAAGTCTCTAGAATCATACTAAAATTTTCTAATTTCCAACTATTTTACAAATAAATGAAATATTTACAATGTGTAGTCGAAGTTGGGCAAACTGCGGCTGCAATAGGGTCACGGGGCTTAAGTAAAACTGCAGTCCGTGACACCAAGTGTGTCTTATCTTTTGCCTTCATTTTTTATCCTTTACGTTAATTTTAATTTTTAATTTTTAATTTTTATTATTTTTTGTACAGGATGACTTGGAGAATTTTGGAGATGTTGGTTCCCTGGAAGACAATGTGGAATCATTTTTGTCGCAAGAAGGGGATGGGAATATGTATGGCTCTCTGAAACAAACTCTTAGTGAGCACAAACCAGAAACTTCTAAAGGTGGTCTTCAGTCACTTGTGTGTGCGCATGTGGAATCTATTTTTCTTAGCTCAACTGTTGTCTCAGGCAAGATGCTTTTTGTATGCTTTATACCTTCATTTTAGGTTTTTCCTTCGGAGAGGTTGGCTGTATACGGACAAGAAATAAAGTGACATGTTGTCATTTTTCTTCGGATGGAAAGTTGTTGGCAAGTGCTGGTCATGACAAAAAGGTTTGAGGCAGCGTCTTAATGCTTGATGGGCAAAAATTCAAACTTCATCCTTCTTTTTTATTCTTTATAGGATATTACAAATTCGTGTTACCGTTGCACTTGCATTTTTATTGCCTTTAGTTTATCTGTACAATTAAAGAATGATGCTTTACTAGATTAACTTAACCAGTGATTTAACGAAGGAGTTTATCTTTGTAGTTATCTGTATATAATTCTTTTTACATGCATTAGGCTGTTCTTTGGAACATGGATACTCTGCAAACAGAAGCCACACCAGAAGAACATCAATTGTTAATTACGGATGTCCGCTTCCGGCCCAATTCAAGTCAACTTGTGACAGCTTCATTCGATAAGTCTGTCAGATTGTGGGATGCAGCTAATGTAATTCTATGCCCTTCTGTCTGAAAATATTTCATATTTAAGTTATTCAAAATAGACTTGTGCATGGTGGATATTGTCACTCACAGACACTTAATTCTCATGGCCAAGCTCACTCCTACTCACTTTCTAGACAGTTCAAAAATTCATTACTCTACTTGATAAAACTAACCTATATTGACATCTGCATTTGTATTTTGTCATTACTAGTACTTATCTGATTTAAACTTTATTTGCAGCCAAGCTGTTGCCTGCAAGCATATACAGGGCATACTTCCCATGTTTTGTCCCTTGATTTCCACCCCAAGAAGAATGATCTTTTTTGTTTCTGTGATAGTGACAATGAAATTCGCTATTGGAATATCAGTCCATTCTTGTGCGCTCGAATTTCCAAGGTTCATGTCGATTAATGATCTTGGATTTTTTGCTTTTCTTCGGTTTTTTTTTTTTTTTTAATCGTTTGTGAAGTTGTGTATTATAGTTTTTAAGTTATTTTTACTGATTGTTTGAAATAGCAAGGAGGCAGGGCACAAGTTAGATTTCACCCGATAACTGGACAGATGTTGGCGGCAGCATCAGACAAAGTGGTGTCCATCTTTGATGTTGAAACCGATAGGCAAACACATTCATTCCAGGTTTTTACATTCATATTATCATACTGATAATTTTTTAGAGCCAAAAAGTAATCAATTCGTGTCATTTGCTGGTATTTTGTGCATTTGATGTTTGGGTACACCTATAAATTTATACTAACTTGAAATTTTGGTGCGGCTGTCAGGGACATTCTGGCGCTGTAAACTACCTTTGCTGGGATCTCAATGGCAGTCTGTTGGCTTCTGTCAGTGAGGACTGCATTAAGGTTTGGTCACTGGGGTCTGGAGAGTGCATTCATGAGCTCAACGCCAATGGGAACCAATTCCATTCTTGTGTTTTTCATCCAAGATATTCATCTCTCTTGGTTACTGGTGGATCGCGGGTAATTCTCTCTCTCTCTCTTTCTCTCTCTCGCATATGTGCACTGTGCATTACTAAAGAAACTAGCATCCACATTGATGATTTGTATGTTACTCAGTGATGAACCCCACATCATTATTCTATATATTAACCTCTGTTTTGTAATCTGAGCTGATACCTATTTATTTACCTTCATGTAATTCAAATCCTGTTCCAAGAAACTTGTCTGTGCAACCTTTTTAGGAATTAGTCATCTTTCTTAGGGCTTAAGCTTCTAGAATTGTATTGGATCTGAATTGAAGATAGCCCGATGATGTTTTGGATCTGGACAGTGGGAAGAAAATAGAGCGTGGAAGTTTATGATCTCAATGCAAATGTAATCCTTAGTCCTGGTTTGGATCACCTGTTATGTTATCCCCATCTTTAGGGCTCCTAATCACGTTAAACGCAACCTAATGCTTGTGTTTTCTTTTTGTTGAATTGCTTCTCTTCATTCTTAATTTTATATCTAATCATTTTTATTGCTGCTTTATCCTCGAGTATGTGATTATGTAATGCTCTCTTTTTAACTTGATGGTGTAGTCTCTAGAGCTTTGGAACATGGCCGAGAACAAAAGCATGACAGTCATGGCGCACGAGAATATTGTGTCTGCATTGGCACAGTCACCCCTGACAGGAATGGTTGCCTCTGCAAGTCATGACAGTTCGGTTAAGTTATGGAAATAAGCAAAGACGATCCATGGCTATATCGAAGTTGTACCTTTACATGTTGAAGGGAGTGTTGTCTTTTGTTAACCATAAGATTTCAGCTCTCTCTGATGGTAATATCAACACACCGTAGGTAACTAGTCTATGTGGGAAACTGGTTTGATTAGTGGTCTTATATGAAGAAACAAAAGGAAATCCAAATAAATGATATTAAAAATTGTTGTCATCAGCTGTAGTAATGCTGTATTGTTACGTGGGTATGGGTGATTAGGGATTTTATTGAGTGATGGCATTTTATTTTATTTTGTGTATAATTTGTTTAGTCGGCGTGGTATAACCGTTGATTGGAACAGCATGTAATGATGTCTGCATTTGAAACTGAGTCCTTCAAATGTGACTTTACATTTGACAGTTTTCGTCACTTGATTCAGATCGTGATTGGATTATTTTCTTCCTTAACACATCCGGCTAAGTGTCCTTCGGGCCCTTTGCCTCTTTATGGTGGATTCGTACATCGGAATGACTGGGTATAACTTGTAAGGATGTGTGGTCGGTGAAATGAATATAGCCATCATGGTTTGCACATATGCAGCTTCATTTGTTGTGTTTGGCCAAATTGCAGTTCTTTGTTTTAATATAGTGTGATCATGCTCCTATCAACTTGTTATTTCCAGAAATATCAATTGCAAAGAATAGGGACGGATCTAGGATCGGATTACAAGTCGGGTTAATATGTTAAAAAAAAAAAAAAATTACAAACACAAGAAAAAAAAATTCGATTCCGTATAGTCACTTTTTATTATCACATTTCAAGTGAACTTGCAAGTACAAACTATTTATTCGTCACTTATTTTCATTAATTTATAATTTAAATTGTTTATAAATACTTTTCAAACATGCTTTTTAGTTCGATCTGATTAAATTCGTTTAGAAATAAATATATAAGAGAAGAGCGGGATGTCGCAATCTCTGTAGAAGCATGATACATAAAGAATGTTAACGGTTAGGATAAATAAAAATGAAAATCCTTCTAAATCTTTAGTTTTATAAACTTGTAAACCAACCCTCCGTTTGGTGCCCACTGCCCCGTTGGGATACAAAGTACAAACTGTGATTGCCAATAAAGCCTTGTCAAAACGTCCGATTCTGGCAACTACAATGTGACATAATTCGATAATATAATATGCGAATAGAATTAATTCTTAAATTATAATGTTTCTTAAACAACCATGTTGTTACAAACTTTGCAATTGGTTTGCCTTAAAATAACAAGTTTATAAGCACAGCCACTCAATTTATTACCAAGAACTACAATTACATACGTAGCCACATGCATGGCTTTATTCATTTCAACACAATTCACCGCCTACGTGCCCTTTATTCCTAGTCAATCTGAAGAACAAGTCCACTTCTAAGCGGGCGAAGGATCCAACAAAGAAAGTAGCTGAGATTGTTAAGAAAAGCTAGTTCTTGTACAATTCAATTATCCAATCACGATATACTTTGGATACAAGTTTCAAATGAGTAAATCCTGCACGTTTTGCCAAGTTTTCATATTCCTCTTTGGTTCTCTCTTTCCCTCCAATGTTTGTAGTCATCATAGCCATATCAGAATTGAAGCCAATTTGGGATATCCGATCATTCTCTGGGTACTCTGGCAACACTACACCCACCAATATTACCTTACCAGTTTCAGATAGGGCTTTCCAGCAGTTTTTCAATAGCTTAAGACAATGTTCATCACTCCAGTCATGAAGGATCCACTGCATATATATAGTTTTACAAAGAAAAATTAATGCAAAAATATTTTGGTTATGTAATTCTTTTATTGATACATAGCAATAAATGAATCATTTTGTGCTACTCCCTGTTATTCATCGATATATCTACTGAATTTTTTCATTGATTTCTAACAACATACAATTTCTATCAAAAGTGGAGCGGAACAAGAAAAGTGTAGCCTTCTAAATCAGTAGTTTATGCTTCTAGAGATGAAAATTAACCTTCATGAAGATAACCTCTCCTTTCGGAACACTTTCAAACATGTCCCCTCCTATATGCTCCACCCCTATCATCGGAAAAGAAGCAATGTAACCCTTTTTAAATCATAATAAAAATAAAGACAAGACATGGCCTTAGGAATTAGGACTTCTATGGAGTAATTAATTCTCAAATATTAGATTAAAACACGTATAACATAAAATCTTGATGATCATAAATGCATGCGTACTCTAGAAGATAGAGATAGAAGCACCGAGTATATAGATACTCTTACTGCACATTTGTATGCAGTATTAGACAATTAAAATAGCACATTATAACAAACAAGAATTTTAACTTCTTTTCATTTCTTAGTTTTGTGCAATATAATCTAGAGTCCAGATCCAACATATCAAATATGTCATTGATGTAATAGAAGAACGGGTTGAATTTACCTGAATAAGTAGGTGCATTTTTAATAACATGGGGCAAATCAAAGTTAATTCCCTTAACATTAGGGTACTTTGAAACTATCAAGTTCAATGTCCCACCAAGTCCACCACCCACATCAACAATCTCTTTTACTCCCTCAAATCCATTGTATACCTCAAATATTTTGTTCATGGCTATTTTTGCATAGCTTTGCATTCCATTGTTCAAGACCTTATTGAATCTATCATCTGTCCTTGCGCAGTCAAATATACTCATTCCATGGGTCCTCTCAAATGGTACTTCACCTTCAAGAATTGCATCCTTCAGATTATACCTAACAAATAATTGTTTTCATCACGTAACGATAACATGTTGATGTAGCATAAGCTTGTAGAAAGACAAGAAAACTCAAACTTGTTGATTCTCTCATGAATACCAAGAAATAGAGAAAGTTGGGAGAAAGTTACCTCATAAAAATTTTAATCCCCCCCAAAAAAAATAAAAAATTAAAAATTTGACCGCGAGAATTAAGATAATGACAAAAATTAAAAGTCATAATCTTCATGATCAATCCACAAATGGAATTGAATTTTCTCCAAAAACGACCGATCCACTTTTCCCTGAAATCTTCTTCTTATGTACCGCATCACATGTATACCATGTGTGGCACACATGATTGAATAACATTGGACAAAATTAGAAGTTAAGAAGCTCGTGCACTATATCTTGTGAAGTGTTATCTAATACAACTTACCAAACAATAACGTCGTACCTTTTTTTTTTTTTAAATATTTAGAAAATAAAACAACAACAAAGATGAAGATGATAATATATTAAATATCATATCGAGCGAGAATAATTTTTTTGACGATTTTAGCCCTACTATAATTCAATTATTTCAATAATACCTTACTTTTTGTTTTTTAATATATATTTAATTGATTTAACCATTTAGTTGTACATATAAATTTTAAAGATTCATTTTTCCTGTGTGCTTTCATTAATGTGTGAATTCTCTATTATTAATTCTCAATTTATTAACATTCACATTCATTTAATTAATACTCATCTTCATTCATGTATTTCAGTGTTATTAATTCTAATTATAAGTAATATGAATATCACATTTAAGAATGAATTTCATTATTTACTTTCATGTATGCTAATTAACATCTAGTTTTACTTAATTAAAAATTAAATAAATGAGTTAGCATATATTATCGCGTATATATTTCCTGGTATTAAGTATAATTTAATTAACATTAAGACATTCAATTATTATTTTTATCGTATTTATAAAGCATTTAATAATAACTCGTTGATGCATGCCTGCATGTTGACTAGTAATAATAAAAGTAGTTTACCAAGCCTCGAGCATCACTTTATCAAGAGGAACGAGTAACAAGGAACCGAGAGATGTTCCGTTCTCATTCCTCAAAAAGTTCATGCAAATTGGCGCCAAACTGTATAGCCTCTTAACAATTCCATTTTCGCCTCCAGTGGTACTGCAATCAAGAAAGGACTGACTGGCCAGATACCGCATCATCCGGTCAATCATCGCCGGAGCGTGGTGGTTCCTCGAAGGAATTGCAGCGGCGATTTCATCTGAGGATAATTGAGCTGCAGGACCGGCTTTTGCCATGATTTCGAACAAATCAAGTTCGATTGCAGCTTTCAAAACCATAGGCAGAAACAAACCGCAGGGAAGATGAAGTGCTCGTACAATGCCCTCTTCTTCTTCGCTTGAGATTTTGGTTTGATTTTGAGACATGGCGAGTGAAGATTTGCAGAGGGTTTAATTTCAACAATGATGGAAATATGGAGCACGAAGAGAAGATCAGCTCATTGATATTAAACTTTCTTTTATCAAAATATTTGACATATCATAAAAATCATTGCGTATCCAAGAGTATCTAAGACTTTTTTAAGCATTTGTCAATTGTATAGACAATTGAAATTCAAACGGTAGATTTTGTACAAGTGTGAAATGTCAATAATGCACTGATTTGGGAATATTTAATGCAAATATAAGGGGCACTTTTGCCTTTCCACAAAACAACTTATTTGACCGATAAGAAGGTAGTCAAAAATATCCGCTGCAGTGGGCCTTTACTGTATAACATTCCAAATTCTCATTAAAATTTCTGAAAATGACTCCCAAACAGGGCTTAAGAATTCTTATACCTGCACGCTAAGCCATGTGATAAGCAACAAGTATATTTAAATATTATTTTACAAATCAAATATCTAAGAACTTATTCTAGTTTATTTATAAATGATTGAAGGTTAATTTATTTATTTTTTTTGTCAAACATAGTTAACATCTCGTATAGCTAAGAATTTATTGAGCATTTGTAAATTGACTAGACAATTGAAATTCAAACTATAGATTTAAGAATTCTTTAAGTATACCTATGCGCTAAGCCATGAGCCAAGATTATGCAAAATATATTGAAGATGAGATTTAAATGAATACACGTCCTAGCTACAAGTTTTAGATAGACAGTAAACACCTGAATTCAAATTTTGTTATCGCTCATTTTTTAAAATTTTGTTCTCGGCAGGCTTTGATAAGAAGAAATAAGCTTTTAGATAAGATTAATAACAAGGCAAGACCTTAGGAACTTGTCNGAACTTGTCTGGCAAAACTTTTTTGGAAGATTTTAATCAGATTTCCACCCGTTGAGCCACAATTGTTGATTTCTTGTTAGAGGCTGGACCCCACCTAACGGTCCAAAAACTGATCAAAAGCAGGAAAAAATCGCGGCCAGACAATCTCTAGGTGAAAATGATGTCATTAGGTTGCCATTGGCATTCTTGTTTTCAATCGAATTTATGTATAGGCTCTTCTTCCCATTCTCGAGGATATTTTGACTATATAATTGTTCCATGCTTGTGAAATATTTGTTTAATATACTTTTTGTCTATGCAAAGCACCCGTTAACGATTTTGGTTTGTTCTCGTAATTGAAAGTGATGAGAAATTTCACGCCAATTCCCTTTATTTCAATTAACCTGCATGATCTTTTTTTGTTCAGGAGAATATTAGCAAACAAAGAAAAATAAATAATATAACGCACAAATTAAACGGACCGTCAAACCTTTTCATTATATGAAAAATTGTTACAATCATAGAATTTTTCACTCACCAACCTAATCCCAAAGTAAACCAAAAGAAAAAAAAAAAATCAACAGCGGCAGCCCCCTTCTTCATTCCTGTCTACCCGCCTGTATCTATATATATATTCCAGCAAAGTAGTAACCAGCCAGAGAAGAGGAAAGAAACACAGCCTTTGTCTGCCAACATGTGTGTATATATATTAATCTATAGCCACCATGGTTGACTCCAAGAAAAGATTTCTCATTCTCTGCTCTTTTTTCCTTGCTTCTATACCAGCACCAAAGACAGCCGACCTTTTTTTCTTTTGTTTTCACACAGGCCACACACCCTCAAATATAAAATAAACCACTATTTATAGGATCCATAATATCCTTTTATTATTTGCAGTAGAAGTCCTCCATCTTTGACTTTTGAAACAATTACCTAATAATCTCCACATTGTCGAAAACGAGTCAAAATCTTGTCTATCTCTTCTCCAACATTTAATCACCATACTTTAGAAAAATAGGTAAGCTTTTGACACACTTTAATGGTTCTATACTCCACCATATAAGTATAACCATTCAGAATTATCCGCAAACTCCGAGCATTTCATCGGCTACATGTCAAAACAACCCTGCTGATAGTTATAGTGCAACTCTCCCACTGACTTTCCCAGAGAGCTCATCAGCCATCGACACTATAACACCACCACATACCTACACACCTTGCACCAAATATCAATTAATACTATGTGCGATATGCTGACCCGCGCAAGTAAGAACACATTCTCTATCATGGCAACTGGCGACATACTATGAGGATGTTCCCATCTTACTTTACAGCACCACAAGCGCGTCCTCCTCGGCCAGGAGAGAAGCATTGTCCAACCCCAAATAGTTAGCCGACCCTGCTCTATTTTTTTGGACAATTTCTCTTCACGTGACGTGACTTGTTTGACCGCGGTTCCAACAAGTTACTTTCTTCCTCATGAAGTTGCCCATCTTTCCCTTTTCAGTCACAAGCACCGTATTGTTAGAAGGAATATTCGGACCCCTTAATCTCCTTTCTTCTTAGATCAATTTGCTTGTCACTTCTGCGAAACTTACAATTTCCTTCTCATACATCAAGATTGGCTTGATGTGTTCATAGGTAGACAGAAGGGACCAGATGAGACGTAATGCCTTATCCTCATCATCTATCTTCACTCCAATAGCCTCCAGTTCTGAAACAACCCCGTTGAGAACACTCAGATGGTCTGAGATTTTCGTACCTACTTCCATGCGCAATGAATGAAATTGCTCATTCAGGTACAATCGATTTGAGAGGCTCTTCCTTTGATATAGTTCTTCTAGCTTTTCCCATAGTTCATTTGCATCCGATATCTCATGAATATTTGCAAGAACATTTTTAGCTAGACAAAGACGTATCATGCTTGCAGCCTTCAAATACAATTCCTCCCAATCCTCATCGCTCATACTGGATTCAGCTTTCCTGTCAGAACTTTGTGTTGGTTTTGCCTTTCAAAATCTTGTGCAGTCCAACTTGAATCAATAAATCCCTGACCTGTACTTGCCACAAGCCAAAATTGATTCTCTCGTCAAATTTCTCCACGTCATATTTCAACGACATATTTTTCTGTTGCTCCAATACTCCGAACCACCTGACGCTCTGATACCATTTGATGGGAAATTTCATGCCAATTCCCTTTATTTCAATTAAACTGCATGACATTTTCTTGTTCAGGAAAATATTGGCAAACAAAAAAAATAAATAATATAACTCACAAATTAAACGAACTGTCAAAGCTTTTCACTATATGAAAAATTGTTGCAATCATATACAATTTTTTACTTACCAACCCAATCCCAAAGTAAACCAAAGAAAAAAAAAATCAACAGCAGGCAGCCCCCTTGTTCATTCCTATCTGCCCGCCTGTATCTATATATATACATTCTATCAAATCAGTTACCAGCAAGAGAAGAGGAAAGAAACACAACATTTGTTTGCCAACATGCGTGTATATATATTAATCTATAGCCACCATGTTTAACTCCAAGAAAAGATTTCTTCTTCTCTACTCTTTTTCTTTGCTTCTATACGTTCCAGCACCAAAGACAGCAGGCCTTTTTTCTTTTGTTTTCACCCAAGCCACGCACCCTATAATATGGAATAAACCACTATTTATAGGATCCATAATAACCTTTTATTATTTGCAGTAGAAGTCCTCCAACTTTGANCTATATTTATTTGCAGTAGAAGTCCTCCAACTTTGACTTTTGAGACAATTACCTTATAGATAGGACAATGGTAGTGTGATTCTTTGCATAAAAAGTCTTTTGTAGTTTTAAAGATGGTGGAGTCTTCGTTTCATATTACTCAGCCGTATTAATCATGGCAGTTAGAATTTCATTAAGTTTCATTGGCTAATAAGTCTTTTATGCTTATTCACATATTTTGTTGCAGGGATCTCCTTTACAAGCCTGTTGTTTTGGGTAAGGTGTTGCTCCAAATAAGTGAAAGTTATTTTATCTGTATTCTATGACTAATTTTCAATGTTGCAGCATGTGGACACATTTCTTGTTTTTGGTGTGTAAGTAAGTCCATGAGCGATCTACGCCAGTCACGTTGTCCAATATGTAGGAACGAGTATTAACATTTTCCATCCATATGTCAGATACTTCACTTATTTCTTCCAAAGATGTATCCAATTGCCTATAAGAGGAGGAAAAATCAAACTCTAGGTTAAGTTTCTTATTCTTAGCTTTTGTTGGTCTTGTTGAACTACAAGTCAATAAGGAAACTTTGTTAATAAAAATTGTGGTTTATGGTTTTGCATATTCCAGAGGAGGAAAAAGCAATGGGTTTCTTTTCACCGCAATTTCACAGTCCTGCATATTAGTTGTAATCCTAAGAAAAGATTATTCTTCTTGGTGATGCAAGTCAACCTTGCATTTCTGACGCCAACCCACCATCAAACACATGTTCTATTAGAAAATAAGATACTGTGGTGAGGTCGAAGTATGTTCTGGTTCAGTTCTCCAAATCTATTCTGACAAGTCAAATTTGCAAACGCTTACTGAAGATGATGGGAAAGCAAGTATTAGTTTTACGGAAGATAAGAATTTGCAATCAAAGTATGAAAATGGAAATTTTCAGCCGGTTCAGTTAATGATGCACTATGCAGTTCCTATAATAGCATGCTCTTCCAGCCCATTGTTCTTAATTGCGGTCATGGTACTAATCACAACTTTTTTATCTAATGAACAAATGATAACATCTAAATTTCTTTTCATTGCCCATATGTCTCGACTAGGAACTGATATGTGTTACCCTTGCTCTGCCTCCCGTTTATAAATGATTAGTATTTTGTGCCAGTTGCATATCGTCCAAACAAATGAGACACATAAGTGCCAAGTTTGTCAATGCCCACATCCAGGCAAAATTCCTCAAGTATGTCTGGAGTTTGATCATTTTCTGGAGTGTTAAGAATTTTGGTGTGGCCGAATTCCTTATTTGAAGTATTGAAAAATTCTAATTGAAGTGCACGTTAAGAAAAATTCAGTTTGGAATGTCATTGGAATCCTATATCAAGTTGAAATTCTATTTTTGAAGCTCATTGGGAGTTGGAAATAGGTATTAGACTTGAAGAAGAGTTTAGGGTGGAGAAAG